AACGACACTACTCAAAAACTATAATGTATATTCTAGACTTTTACAATTACAATTCTATTACAATTATTACAATTATTACAATTATTACAATTATTACAATTATTACAATTATTACAATTATTACAATTATTACAACTCTATTACAATTCAACGACACTGCTCAAAAACCATAATGTATATTCTACAATTCAACGACACTACTCAAAAACCAGGGGTGCCAATTTTTACAGTGAGCTTCGTCGCGCCGCTAAATTATTTTAACAACGAGAACATGTTTATAAAGAAGACAAAATAACTTGCTTTTTAATGGAATTTATGAACCTGTTTACTCTTGACCAAATTATTTATGCCCGAGGTTAACTCTGTTGCAGCGAGAATCATCGAATTCTTCTTTAAATTCTCATCAGTCATTCTCGATCGGTGATTATTCTTAATTAATTTCATGGAAAAGGAAGCTTGTTCGGATCTATGGGTACTTCCAAATAGACATACATACATACACATACATCTTTGTGCAGACTTTCTGAGATTTGGAAAGCTTCGGGAGTCGACATCACTTGGAACAGTGAGGGGAGGATATTAAATTTTGCTTTTAAAAAACCAAGGACAACTGATCGTAACGATATAGTATATCTCGACTAAATTCTGAAAATCGTCGAGTTAATTTAGATATTTTTATATCTTGCGTTATTCGTTTTATTTATTATTAAAATTTGCTCTATCAGAAATCATGAAATGGCCACCCCTGTGTTAAACTCTCCGAGTATGAAACGAGAACTTCGCGTTAGATCAAAACTTCTTCATATTCAACGCATAATCAAAGACACATTTCGTTCCTTCGTCGACAAAAGTCTCGCGAGAAACATTTATTTCCACCTATGGGTAGATCAGATCCACCGTTTGGGCAAATAATAAAAAACGCAAACATACACGTACAAACACACGCATGCAGCGTCTTGTTTGCGTGAGAAAAGACAAAGGTTTCGCGCATCGATCAAGCAGGATACCGGGAACGGAGATTCCCCGAGCGGGGAATACGACGCTGGTGTCTCACGGGCTGTGAAATCAAATGATAACAGAAAGCGTGATGGTCGTGGTGTCGGGTGCAGCAGGAGAAAGGCGAGGGAAAATGCTAGGCGTCGTTTGTTTGCAGGTTTGTTCGGCACTTAGCCGGTACTCTCGCAGCCGCCCCAAATCCCTGCAAATTGAAATATCTCCCGGAGTCTTACGGGCCTGGTTAACAACAAACCCCGGGGACGGATCTCACTTCACTCCGTTGTAATCCCGAGACGAGGGCGAGGCTTCTTCTCTCGTGCTCCTTCGCGCGAGTCCAGCACGTTCCTCTCCTTCCTGGCGTCAGTCAGCCGAGAAGGACGTTTTGTGAAAATTCCAGCCTCTTCGATCGCACGCCTCATTTGTACGAGTATCATTGTTGGTCGTTCAATTTGAACCGATTAGCTAATCAACAAGGAACTATTTATGGACAAATTCGGAAGTTGCTGGGAGTTCATTTTTTATACATCTTTTTTTGGTTAATTCAGATTGATTTATGTTTCTAACGCTTCCAAGAATAATACGACGATATTTCGTACGAGGAGTTTGCCCTTCTACCTTTTCGACTCGCTATTTTTCAACAACAATGACGTGTCAACGACCCATTCGTAGCGCCAGCATTTTATCGTCGGACTGAAATACATATCTGGCTCCACCGAGAATAACGAAGCGTAGATTAGAACGATGCTGAATAAATTGAAACACGGTGATAAAAGAAGGTGGAAGGTTTTTTTCTTTCGGTGGGCCGGGTTGGTCTACGTCTGTAAATAAAGATGGGCCGCCTTAGGTGGAAGATGGTTAGCGGCATCATCAGACGCAGTGATAGCGGTGCTCTTTGAAAAAGGAGGCAATCGATCACACGGCTGTCAATACGAGTAAGGGAAGCTGGCGATTTGCTGCCTGCGGAATCAGGGGTGAAATACCCTCACCTGTCACTGTCACGGTCATGACAAACACATTCGTGTTATTCTCGAACAGCAGGCTACGCTCTAGCAGTGGCAGAGATTACCGATCGATCGAACAGGTCTAATCGATTCGCGATCGTTACGCGCGAATGTACCACGTACATCTATACAGCCAGTCAGTGGTAATCAGGAATTGGCACGTGTGAGTGACGCTTAATAAGATCGAGAAACGTTTAATGTTTATTTACGAGGAAAATTAACCACTTGCGCTGGCAACTGATTGCGGACCATAACGAGCGACCAAGCCGCTTTCTTTTTGAACCCGTCGGTATGATATCACTGGATAGAAATGATCGTGAAGTAATAAATTTATTATTTGTTTTGGCTACTTTGTTTTACTTAAATATATTACTTAAAACTGAGAAAATATTACAATTTTGGAACAGAAAGTTTCTCGACGTGCGTGGCACGTAATCATTCCAGCGCAAGAGGTTAAAGAGAAGATTGACGAGAGTACAGATTTAAATAACAGAATATAACAATTGGCTGTTATACGAGGTTACATTCACGAATTATGTATTACATTTTCGAGAATATTTAAAATTTAAAATTTATTTAAAACATGTTTAAAATACGAGCAACGAATAGTTATTAAGGCAGAATTGATTGTATCAGCGATAAAATCTCCTCTTTAATTTCTATAATGTGCATACTTTAATGTAATTAACATATATCGAATTTTTTGAAACTTCAACACGATACAGTACGAAATTAAGTTAACCAAATTAGTTAATCCTTTAATTGCTTAATTTTTCCGTGATGTTGAAATAACATTTCCAGTATAATCTCGTTTCCATGAGATAACGACATATTTCGTTACGCTCATAGTGAATTTCCTGGTGACGAAATATATATCGTTGAACTATAGTATATCGCCGTAATGATAATATATAAAATCAACAAAGTAATTCTCTCGGCATAACGAAATATCACCCATAAGTAATGTCGTCTTTTGATGCTGTACAAAATTTCACTTTATTCCATTTTACAACAACAAGCACACTAAATGTCACAATACATTTAACTAGAATATAAATTATAGTTATAGAAACTTAAATTATTGTCTACTAGATGGCAATGTTCATTAAATTTGAAGGAAACAACGTTACTTACGAGTACCTATAATATTTTGTCGCGGTTAAAGGGTTAATGAACTCGTTTTCAACATGAGAAACGATTGTTTCCCTCGTCACGAAATTTATAAATTGCAAAGATGCGCCAAATTCTTACAACACTGCCGTGTTAATTCAAAATTATGTCATTTCAAAAGGTCGAAAGTTTGATTTGACAAACGACTTTGGAAAGAAAGCTGTCAAGTCATCGATTTCGTATACATCCGAATATGTAATATGTAATATAAACTGTTTCAGTTAATCGACAGAGATTTTCTTGTGACAAACACTTACAGATACGATCTTTTGATTTAACACGGTAGAATAACCCCGTTTTCTAGAGAATGTGATATCTTAACACATTTCAGATGTTGCGACACCAACAGAGGTGAAACACGAATTGGGAACCAGCGGAGGGGTGGTCTCGCCCGATGGTGTAGTGGGGGTAAATAACGCGGACGATAAGGATGGAAAGAAGAACAAACGCCAGAGGCGGCAGAGGACGCATTTCACGTCCCAACAACTTCAGGAACTGGAGGCTTTGTTCATGAGGAATCGGTATCCGGATATGTCGACCAGGGAAGAAATAGGTCTGTTCACGAAGCTTCCCGAACCACGAGTCAGGGTGAGTGCGAATTATCCTTTTATTATATCCTATAATACCTATAACAATTTGGTTATAACGTATATTTGGATATAAATATAATATCCAAATTATAGTGAATTAATGTCTAAATTAATATATAAATTAATATCCAAAGTATATTAGTATGTTTATAATTATATAGTATACAAAGTATATAGTATAATTATAATTCGGGGATCGAAATTAATAGATTTCTTTTCGTTTTGAAAGAAACTCTGTTCGAACTTGCATAGGCATTTCATATAAAAAAGTATTTCTTTTATGTAATTAATATCCAATATAATACCTGTAACAATTTAGTTGTTACGTTAATATCCAAAGGATAGTGAATTAATATCCAAATTAATATATGAATTAATATCCAATGTGTATTAGTTATAGTATAATTATAATTCGGAGATCGAAATTAATAGATTTCTTTTCGTTCGAACTTGCATAGGTATTTCATATAAAAAAGTATTCTTCTTTTGTGGAACTTCTATAGAAGGAATTGTTAGAATTATTAGAAGTTATTTTAGAATTAAAGTTCATTTATTTTAGAATAATTAAAATTTATTAAATTAAAATTAAACGTTCACTTTTACATTCGATTACTATTCATTGAACAGTATTCAGTGTCGGCATTCGCTTCGAATATTGATAATATTTTTGTTATTGATGAACGAATTAGCTATCTGTCTCTCCAGAGAGAAAAATTCTTATTTTTATGTTTTTTTTATAAATTTCGAAACTTTTATTTTAAAGAACATTTCTATTTTATTTGGTCTCATCTGGACTTGAGAACATTTTTCAAAAAATGTTCCACCATTCGTTTTTCAAACAGACCTATCTAACCTATTTAAAAATTTTCCAACTCTTTCGATCCCTGAATGAAATTTATGAAAGTTACAAATTTTGCCTAAACATTCGCAGTATATTATATACTTACGCTTACAATTTTCCATCGTTTAGAAATCTGTTTTTATGAAATTATTGTAGCACCGGGGAATGAAGCAAGTTTATCTTACTTGCGGTACTACATGCAAGCAAAAAATTAATCATACATTGCGAAACACGTTGAAGTTTGATAGCAAACGATTACTACGTGTTTGTACATGTACTTGTATTAAATAACAATTACGAGAGTCGTGAAAGTTCGCATGTAATTCTTTTACAATCTCACCGTCGGAAAGTGGCAGTTTTCTCTATCTTCCGACATTATAATAAAGTTTTATCGATTGTTGTAACAAGGTATTTTCACGCGCAACACAAATCAATTCATCATCGCAGTTGATAACTGAAAACGAGCAACAATTTAATCCAGACGTTTCTTAAAAACAATCTAATTTCGTCGAAGAGCGGAAATTACATTTGAATTAATCGCGATTAATCGTGCAAATAATCGACGATTTTTTCATTGTGAAAGGAAATGCGTTGTTTTTTTTTTTTTTTTCTTTTTGTCGTGACGAACGAGTTGACCAGAACACGGAACACGTTCTAGAAGGTGCGTAGCCAGAGTTCGAGCACGAATCACGGCGACTTGAAATCGAGTTGATCAAGAAGCAACAGAAACCTACAATGGACGCATTGATGCGTTGAAGTATCGATTACAAAGGCAACAATTCATGCTCTTTCCACCGGATACATCGAAGTCTCGCGCCTACAGGCACATAACTCGTTCGACAGAAAAAATGCCATTTCTTTGCCGGCCGAACCTGATATTTTCGAGAAGCAGGCGGTCAATTTTGCTGGCCGTCTGACAGATTTTTGATGCGCGATGTTCAACAACAGAGTTTTCAAATATCCGTGAAAAACGTTTTCCGTCTAACTTATCGTGGATAATTTCAAATTGAAGAAGGAATACGGCTTACGAATAAATACGCATGTACTTTGTCCTTCATTTGCAAATTTCCGAAAGGTAATTTAATTTGAATTAATGAAAATACCGATGTAAGTCACAGACGAGCGTCGTAATTGCGCTTTGCGCAAATTTACTTTAATTCACTTTGAAATTTTTTTACGCTCAGAGATCAACGTCACAATTCCAAACCAAAACGTTTATATTTGAATTAAAATAAAATTCTAATAAGTCTAAAAATTCCAAAAGTTCTGAAACAAAAATATTAAAATATGTCGAAAATCAAGAAATCATGAAAGAGAGAATATTTCCTGAGACTGAGGGAAAGATTAACAAGCACTCGATATCGTGTAAACGAATAATAAATTCGCGACGATCGGCGTGAGTAAACGAAACGGATGAAAACGACCGAGACACGTTGTCACGACTTGACGATCCTCGCGGTTCCGTGCGTTTCGAATCGGTCATATCGGTAGATGGGAGCTGGTTCGAGGCCGAGGGACATCGGGATCGGAAGAGAAACAGGGATGAAAGTGGGCAGGTATGAGGTCACGTGGGGTTGCGCAGCTCACAAGGGAAGCTTTGCGCCGGTAAGCCCTTCTGGATTTATAGAACCACACAGAGCATGGCACGGTATTCCCGCCACGCTGCTATACGCCATGTACCAAAATTCTGCGGATCCCAGCTATCGCTGAACCACCCACGCATTCCCAAATTTTAACCCAAGTTCCCGCGCTCTCTTTTTCTTTTCCTCGACTCTAACGTGCAGCTAATTGCATTCATTCTTCTTTTAGTAAAATTTAGTAGATTCCACCGAAGGTTTCGCGATTTCAATTTTTTCAAACTTTTCACAGATCAGCATTTTTCCAGCATTTGCTTGACAATTTATCAGCCCAAAAATTCACGATGTTCTCATTCATGAGATCGTGTCTCATTACAGCGTACTCTTTTGCGAACCACTGTGTAAATGGTAAAATCTTCATCCCTTAAAAGTCATCGCGTTTACGTCGTCGTTTACGTAAACAGATTATTGGCAGAAAAGTTTGTCGGACGAATTGTGGACCATGTTCTCGTCACTTCACTCTGAAACATACACGGGGGCGTCTCGCGGTACGAACCGCGATAATTGTCGGAGTCGTCGGACCGTGAATTCTGCGCTGTCGTGTCGTCCTTCGGTGGGAACTTCCGCGTGCAACAAACACCTCCGAATGGCGGAATTTACGCGAACCGATTCCGGTGTATTTAGTCAATTCTAGCCGCGGCATTACGCTTAATTAATCCCGACGTAACATTTAATGCTCGCCGATAAATGCGCGAAAGCTTATCTATTTTGTCCACGGATTTGCTGGTATTCCGACCGATATCTGGATGATGGGGTGGTTCACGACCTGTGGGGAAAATCGTTCAAAAGAACAGACCGAATCCCTGGTGCAATTTTATTTTCTATGAAACAGCAATTTTGACATCTGATAAAGAAAAATCTACCGATAAAATCAATATTCGACGGATATTCCCAAATATACCATTTTCTTTAGCCAGGCTAAGAAATCCCACCAACCTTTATCCCGTTCGACGGAATTCGATTTTCGTCTTGCCGTCGGCGCCACGAATCCACAACTACAACAGTCACCTCTGACTCCTGTGTAAAAGATCCAGATCCAGACGTTACGCTTTGGGCAGACGAGGCCCTCCGCCCCTTCCATCCAAAGAAAAAAAAAAAAAAAAAAAGGAAAAAANAGAGAGAGAGAGAGAGAGAGAGAGAGAAGCAGATAGAAGATTAGAGGTAACAAGTGTGTGTGTGTGTGTGTGTGAGAGAGAGAGAGAGAGAAGCTGAGCTTACACGCCATGGGAATGGGAAATGGGACGCCACGGAATATAGGTGGACACTAACCGGTATGAGAGTGAGGATTACCGGGTGTCATCCGTATTCGGCCGGGTTAGCGGCTGTCAGCGGCCAATGCCATCGCTATATATCAATTATTACCTTTGCCATTGCAACGGCCGGTTGCATTCCAATGCACGCGCTGCGCCGCACTGCGCTCTGCGGTCGTCCGGTCGCATATCTCTTCCGTAGACCGATTTGCATCCGGTATGCGAACGCTCTCGCACCCTCTCAACCCACCCAACCACCACCCCCCAGCGCTCGCCTTTGTCTCGCTCCTGCTTCACCAATCTCTGTCTCGCTCTCTTTTCGCGCCAACGCGCGTACGACTGTCGCGCGCTTCGCCGCGAATTCCGTTTACACGGCCGAGCGAAGAGGGAAGAAGAGGGAAGAAGGGGGCAGAGCGGTTTAACGTCGAACCCGCCACTTGCAAGCTCGTAAGTTCTCGTGTGCGCAGAGGCTCAACGTTCCCTGTCTTCGGGATTTCGCGGCGAACGTCCGACTCCTCCCGCTCGCCCTCTCCTCCCGTTATGAAGCCTTTTGCCCGAGGCCGAGCAAAGATCTCCAGATTAACGGGCCGGTGATTGAGCCTGTAATGGCGAGGATATCTGTTACGGTGATACGGCCGGATTTAGGGATAAGCAAGACCAGCTTTCCCGGCCGCTTCGTTTGATTCAGCCACGGACCACCAGGCTTTTCGGGTGGCCATGCTAGCCTCCTCTCTTTTTCTCTCTCTCTCTCTCTCTCTTTCAGCCAAAAAAAAAAACAATCGCTGAGAGATGTTCCCAGTTTGGCTGCTCCTGTTTCGCGGCTCCGTTTAATCTTCTTTTAACACGATTGCCCTACGTTTCTTTCTCTTTATTAACGATTTGGATCTGGTTCGTTACAATGTTTCGAATGTATACCTGTTGGCAATGAGGCGATTTCGAGATTGTTCCAGATCGGCCTGTCGGCTATTTGAGCTTTCCGTCTTTCGGTGTATTACAAACGAACCGGGTAAAAAAAAAAGAGAAATCCCAGCAAACGTTGTAACAAAGAGAGGATCTAAAATACTTTCCCCCCCTGACTTTTTAAAACCACCCTAAAGAAAACGTTTCAATTCTCAACCCCTTGCGCTGGCAACTGGATTCGCGGACCATAACGAGCGACCGAACCGCAATACAATAATTCGTCGCTTTCTTTTCCTTTTTGACGAACTCGTCAGTACGATATCACTGGATAGAAATGATTAAGAAGTAATAAACTTGTCATTCATTTCGT